ACTTGATTCTGTCCAAATATATATGGGGGTCCTCTTTTGCCGATCTGATTCTGTCCAAACATATGTGGGGGTCCTCTTTTGCCNCCTCTTTTGCCAACTTGATTCTGTCCAAATATATATGGGGGTCCTCTTTTGCCGATCTGATTCTGTCCAAACATATGTGGGGGTCCTCTTTTGCCAACTTGATTCTGYCCAAATATATATGGGAGACTACTCTTGTTCACTTGATCCTGTCTAAATATGTCTCCCGGGTCTCTTTTACCAATTTGATTTTGCCCATGTATGTACGATGGAACCCTTGTTTCTCGGCGATGGATAGTATGAAGAGTCTTTTGTTTGACGTGATTTCTAGTGGAGTGCTCTTCTGTTTGTACAGATATAGCAAGGCACATAATGAAAGCAAAGATAAAAATAGCTGTGCCGCTTAATCTATTCGGCATCCTGATTCTTTTCTATTATACAGTCAGACTAAAAGAAGAGTATGAAGTTCAACTATGGAGTGTCTGTGACTCTAAAACCAGACCTTTTTATAGAGATATGAAGGCTCGCCACAATTACTGTTTAACAAAATGAATATCGAATTAAGTGTCTTTCTTTGATGACCAATCACTTATGCAAACACGCCAATGAAAAAGCCTTCTGGTCGTAAAAATTACCAATTTGTTTAGTACTGGAGTCCATTTTCAAATGTGATGGGGTTGTCGGTGTACTAATAGGCAAAATGCCATGAAGTATATAGAAAACTGAGAAGCTTCGAAAATGACATAAAAAATAAAATAAGTTTACCAGTAAATGCACTACATGTGGCACATTGTTTTAATAATAAGTTCTTTTCGCACCTGGAGGATGATATTCTTTTCCTCCGGCCATCTGTCTTTAAACGCCCTCGTCAAATTTTCCCATTCTATAGTTTTTTTCTAAAATTAAAATGACTGACACTTTGTTTGCTTTTGATTGGCAAACCTAAACACTGTTAGAAACAATTACTAGAATTTTTATCCTTCTTCCCAAACTTCCGTTCCTTTCCTCGTTCATTTATTTCAAGAGATGAATAAGAACTAATATTTACATTTGGACGGCTTAGGACATCTAACGTTGAAAGGAAAGTTCTTTTTAAATTTTCAGAAGTGGATGGTTGTCAGATCGCCCATATGTTTGTTTATACAGGATATCAAAGTCTTTCCTTATCCAAGATTTTGTCAAACAGTTCTTCCGCACCAACAAGTGGTTCTTGATCTAATTGTTATCCGCTTTTGTGATATAACGACCTCGTCACAATTGAAATAATTTATCAAACCTTTTCATCATTCCTAAAAATTGCTTTCTAACGTCATAGTGTGAAATTTGTGAAGGTATATGAAATTATGTTTCCAATGAATAAATCAGTAACATTATTCAACAGATATTATATAAAAGATTTATTATATTTTTTGATTTTTTGAGCTCAAAAGAGGTTGACTGGTTTTAGCAAAAAACACTGAAGCTTGTCAAACGGATATAAGTTGACATTCGTTCAGGTGGGAATGGAAATAAAAACACCTTATACACATGTCCTTTCACATGATATCTTCATACGTACTCCGAACAAAACGACAACTGTTTTACGAGAAAAAATAAAAATAAAAAACTTGTATTTGACACCATCACTATCCGTACGTATACATCTTCCATGATTTTGCTCCACAAGCACTAACACTGAACACTCGACTATACTAACGACATACGATGAATGACGTGACTGAATCATTCAAAAAGCGAAAAGTCAACACATCGGTGAAAAGCGAATCACTACACACCACCCATGGTACCCATGTGAATGAAAGGAAAGATAAAAAGAAAAGAAAATTCTTAGAGAAAAAGACTTTCTTTGCAGTAATACTACGCAACTGATTTCCTATTTATAGTTGGTATAATCGTCAAGCAAACAAGATACGGTGAAGTAGTGGAACTAGAAAGCTGTGAGGAATCCTGAATCCGAGAACAAGGATAAGGTACGAGTTAACATATCGTGTACAACACGGCCACTCACATTGTATACAACTATTTCAAAAAAGGTTAGTGAAAGTCTTGCTGCATCCTTCATACCAAGCCCAAACTACACTATGGGAAATGTGAATGCAATCAGCAAGAGGTCAGAACGATATAAACTTTTCCCAAACGTTAACTTTGCCCTTTCATTTTACTGGCATAATTATTTTGCGCTGACTTTTTTTTCATACATACATACATACTTTATTGCGTTTTCTTTACAAAGGGCTTTTCAAAACCTATTACATYAAATGATGAATATAAAATGAACGAAACACTAGATATAATTATATGAAAATGTAAATCTACTTTGTCTACTTTTTGTACAGTTTGTCCAATAGTTTAGACTTTAAAAACCTTTTAAAGTTCTTTAACGACTTAGGTACGATCCTTCGGTCTTTCACCCAACGAGTCCCAAATCTAAAGGGCTCTACCTGTAATTAAATGTTCTTTGACCAGAAGTTGTAGTGTAGAGAGGGATTTGAAGTAGGTCACGATTTAATCATATCAATATAATACATTTGAAGCTTAGTAAGAACAAGCACTGGAGATGTAAGACGCATGCAACATGCAACATAACCTTGGCGAACCCTTTTTGAAATAGCTGTAATGAATCAGTAAAGAACATCATCCAACATGGTCAAAACTTTTATTCCATCTTATGATATGATTTGAGTCTACGCATGCTCTGATTGGTGAAAACGCTTGAAAAACTATGTTCTTATCAGAGGACAGAAAAGCAATCCCTAAAATTTGTCGCTGACATTATTTACATTTGAATCAAGCTTAGAAAGAACACGCAGCATGCAAAGATGCAGGTTGCAACATGCAACAAATTAAATTTTTAAAACCCTTGCCAGCCTTTTTGAAAATTAAATAGTTGCATAATATTAAATAGTATGAACATCATTCCAGCTGGTCCACATTCCATTTTATGGAATATTTAAAATACGTCTAGGCACGCTCTGGTTAATAAACCATGTTTCAGTATTCTTCGTTTGCACGTTACGTCATCGCGGCCATGTTGTTACCATTTAACAAAAAATTTCTCATTAGCATYCATTGTTAACGGTACCACAATGGCCGCCATGTTTTTTGTCTTTTAGCTCTCTTGGGAATGCTTGCAATCAATCGGAAGGCAGAAGACACGTTCAGCTTAAACGTTTGGTTTATTTTATACAAGCATTAATATTAAACTACGCGCGTGTCTATACTGTGAAATAACGCTCTGGGAGCTGTAGAGCACTCGAGAGGTAAAATTAAAGCAACACTCGGCTACGCCTCGTTTTTCTCTACGAATTATCTCTTGCTCTCTACAACTCTGTTCCAGCGTACTGTGATATAAACACGAGAGAGAAGTCGAAGAATAATATAATCCTTAATATAGGAATGATAGCCACTTTTATAACGGCTATCAAATACAACCTTTTACTTTCTTACTTCGGTAACAATTGTATTTCATTATTGTTAGAGAATCTAAAGCACCACTGGAAATGAAGTAGAGAGACTATCTTTATAGATCCACTGATTGAAGGTCGTTTTACATATGTAAGGAACGACCATATACATATTGTATTTGCAGAAAAACACGACTTTTGACAACTCACCTTTGCTTGCGTCGTACTTACAGAGGCGGAAATCGCTAATTAATATTTACATTTTCAACCTACTATCCTAAGTATTTAATTAATAAAGGTTTGTAAATAGAGCCCAAATTCAGCGTTATCAATATTCTCTTAAGTCCCGTTTGCACTGGCGAATTTTGCGGCACGGTATTACCTATTTACGATAAACTTAGTAGTCTATTATTGTATCAATATTATTGTATTTTAAGCAGGGCGCCTCTGGATACCAGCGTCGTAGCTGAACGGTCGTCCACCTCGGGATACATAAATTTTACAAGCAAAATAGACCTGTTAAAAAAAGTATATGACAGAGCATCGTGACACGAGGGTCCAATCTTCAGTCTACCACAGCAAATGCCGAAAGAAAAGGAATTGAGAATCGGCGTATTTTCTGGTGAAGTTATGTAYGTGATTGGTTATGTATCACTAGATGTCAGGAAGCAGATCGTAGTTAGACAATGTATATACCTTTAATAATATGCTGTGTAAGAGACGTTTTGAAGCAAATAATTTGAATAGAGAAAATTAAAGTGAGACAAATACCACGGCCCATTAAACGCTTAATCTAAACTGAGTTAAAAGACGGGGATCGTTTCAAAAACTTGCAGGTCTACATGAACAAGTTTTTAGTGACACTACTAAACCTGCAAATCGAATTATTGAAGTATAGCAACTGGATGCCGCATTGGTTGTCTGGGAGATCATGATTGATTTTGAAAGAAATTTTATTAAAGTGGCGCCAAAAAGAAGCCGAATGTCGGGAAAGAAATGTTATTAAAGTGGCGCCAAAAAGAAGCTGAGCGTCGAGAAAATATACGTACTGACGCTAAAATTGGAGTTATCATTTACTGAGAAATGAAAACCATTAAAAAAGAAGGGATAAAAGATATTATTGCTGAAAACGAAGTACCGGCATCTTTCAGCACCTGTACTCAAGTCAACATCAAGGAACTAACGCGAAATTTTTACTTTTTGCTTTTGCAATAAAGGCGTTTTTTTTCCAGCAATGCTTGTATCTTTTAAAAACAAATAATGATATATCATGAATATATTTATATTGAAAAAACTTTCTGGCGAAATCGCGAAATTAAAATAAGTCAATGGTAAAATCTCGAAATTAACACTGAGATAAGATTGTAGGTATCATAGGTTAAATGTAATCCTTCCATGCTAAGAAAATGTACCGTCTATACAAATTATTCCTCATCACATGCTTTTTTAGATTGGATGGACCGCATTCGGAGAGCAAACTATAGCTGTACTCGTCAAAACGCCAAGAAATTATTCCTAATAAATCGGTGTTAAAAAAGTGGGTGTTATATATGGCGAACATCCAGATGCTCGTTAACTGATATTATCCCAAATTGAACAAAACAGGACGGATAAAATATCAGCTTTAATACGTGTCATTCTTATAGCTATTAAACAAGTACTAGGACGTTACAAATCATTAATGAAAAACGTTCCCGCCAGATGTTCCGGCATAGGACTGGTATTATGCTTCGATTAATCGAATATTGTTTAGCAAGGAAGCGACAATGAAACACTATATTCTCATTTAATAGTTGCCTAATTACGACGAATTGAAACGAGATGCCATTTAAGACAATTCAGGTGCCTCAGAATAGAGTTGTTTGTTTAATTTTCTTTCTTTCTTTCTTTCTTTCTTTCTCTCTTTCTTTCCTTCTCTCTCTCTCTCTCTTTCTTTCCGTCATTAGAATTCTGTCTTTCAAATTCAATCTGTCTTTAATTCTTTTACTTTCATAATATCTAGGAAACTGTGTAAAAGGGTTAGAGGAACGAAGGGGTACAGTGCTTTGTCAGTTTGGCTCCACAATCCGCTTTATCCAAAAACACAATTCTAACTTACACAAATACTAACTTACAAAAGCTGCTTAAGTTAATGAGCTATGGCGTACTTCCAGAATTGATCTACGCCCCAGGAAACTGAAAATTCTGATGCTGCTGCTGCTGATGCTATAATAGAAAGATGAAGACATTGATCACCAAACAAATATGAGAAAGTTTGATTGATATTATAAGCCTCATCCATCCATCCATCCATCCATCCATCCATCCATCCATCCATCCATCCATCCATCCATCCATCCATCCATCCATCCATCCATCCATCC